CCATATCAGCAATATTGGCATAGATTGGGAATGGGAATGCGGAACATCCCATTGCTTATTATAGCAAGCGCTCAAGGCTCTTCAAGGCTCAGGATCACTCTCAGGCTGTCTCCAGTGATGGTCGATTTACTTAATGGGATATGACTATGAAATTGTCTACAAAAGAGGCTCAAAAACTCGAAAGCAGATGGGTTATCCAGAGCTTTTCACAGCTAGACTGTCTCACAAATTTGTTGAATTTCCTTGTTATATTTCTCATGTTTAATCGCATTGGCAATATTTATCATTCCTGTTCTGGGTTGTAGTTGCGTGAGCATCCCTATTTGGACTTGATTATTTAAGTGTGTGGGTCGGTTGAAGTAGTTATCCCTGCTTTGGACTTCAGATGGATCGCAAAGAATACAAACTGCACCTGGCCTTCGCTGAATCGGGAGAGATTGTTCTTGGCATTGACAAGTCAGTGAGGAGAAAACTCAATCGAGGAAGAGATAAGTTTGGTGTGCTAGATGGCAAGCTAATGTACATCGCTTCAAGGGAGCTGAATCAATACCTGGTAGTTCAGCGGGATGAGGTCGATGAGCTCGTGCTAAGATACCATGCTTCCTCTTTATCGGGTCATTTGTCACGGAACAGGATCCTAGATGATTTACAGCAGCATTACTGGTGGATTGGTACGAGGAATGATGTTGATCGGGTTACAGTTTGCAAGATCTCTAATGCTCCTATGCGGTCATCTATAACCTCAGAATTACAGCCACTGCCAATTGGAGGGCCTTTTGCAAGGGTGGGACTTGATTTCGTTGAACCTTTCAACTTCCCCTCCAGACATGGCAACTGATATTTTGTTGTTTGCATGGACTACTTCTCTAAGTGGGTTAAGGCACGAGCAGTAAATGACAAATCTACTCAGACTGCTGTGGAATTTATCTACGAGGATGTTATCTTAAGACATGGAGTCCCAGAGCAGATCCTTACTGACAGGATAAAGGAGTTTTGCAGTGAGGCATTAATGGGTGTGAAGCACACCCTGACAGGAAGATTAAAACCTTCAACTAATGGCATGGTAGAGCACTTTAACAGGACATTAGAAAAGACGATCTCAGTAAATATTTTGCTCAAGAAAGGGGAGTGGGACAATGTTTTGCCGGAAGTACTCTTTGCTTACAGAACAACAAGACAGGAGTCCACAGGTTTTTCACCTTTTGAGATGATTTACAGGAGAAGAGCGAAGAAACCTGCTCACCCTGGATTAGATCTCACCGCAACCAATGATGGTATTGAATCCCAGAACTATGTTGGAGAAAGCTCGAATCACAGGGCAATCTTGGAAGAAAGAGCAAGAGCAAACATTGAACAGGCACAAGCTCGTTATTCAAGGAACTACAAGAAAAGAATCAATGATCATCCCTTTGGTGTTGGAGATTCTGTCATGGCCAAAGTTGTGGTGCAAGGCATCCTAGGAAGGAAGTGTTCTTCACGGTACGATGGGCCCTATTTGGTAATAGATCAGCCAACTCAAGCTAAGATGACAATTTTGGCTCAGCAAACAGAGAGTGCAATGCCAGGGACAGTGTTATCCACAGAATTACGATTCTCTAATTTGATATTCGACAGCAATGTTAGAAGTCCTGGAGAGCGTTCAATCAGACCCATGTTTTTTCAAGTCTCTCCTTCAAAAACGAGGAAATGACTACAGACATTAGTCTAGGAGTTGTGTGAGAACACGAGTGACCGCTACAACGTTTTCACGCAGAGAATATCCGCGAAAAATATTCTTCCAGATGAATAAAGGAATGCCACATGTCCTTATTTTCATGTAGTACGGTCATTTTTTGGCAGACGCCATAAATTCCTCCAATATCAAGTCAGTCAAAAAGTGAATCTGACGTAGTCCACCTTGCAAGGTCTTGCCCAAATAGGATGACACAGCTGGCTGGGAGTTCAAATAATTCGGCGCTTGAGAGGCCGAAAAAATAATGGCTAGTAAAGGAAAGTTGTGCTTCATTGTCTCGTCGATCTTCATCCTGCGTTTTGCTCAAGCAGAAATATGCTACTCGAACTTCACCACCAAGATAAATGGTGCCTTGTATCCGCTTGATCCATACGGTTTGAGTGGCCGCTACGCTGGTTTATGGTCAAATTATAGCAACATAGATATCAGCCAGGGCATGAGTTACCAGGTGTGGATGCTGAGTTATAACGCTGAAACGCCAAAATCGTTTTTCCTGGCACTCATTGCCATCCGCAATCCAAGTGAGTATTGGGATCTCACAAGACCGGTCATCCTGTGGAAGGCCCGACAGACGAGGCTTGTAGGTGAGAATGCCACTTTACAATTTACCGCAGATGGAGAGCTTAAAATCGAAGAAGACGATGATGTCGTATGGTCCACGAAAACTGCAAACAGAGGCGTCCGGTGGCTCTGTATTTCCAATCGCGCAACCATAATGCTCCTGGATGAAAGCGGAAGCAATGTCATCTGGCAAAGCAGCGACGAACCTTCTGATACTGTGCTGTTGCAACGAGCACTTACGCCGGGACAAAAGCTCGTAAGTTGGAATACTTCAGAAGACAGCAGCGATGGCCTCTATAGTCTCGTCATAGAGAAAAACAGGCTGCAACTGTTGTACGCCTCGCAACCGTACTGGAGCTTCGGTAATATTACCAGCGAGGAAGATATGTTTGCGGTGTTCTGCAGGCAAAACGATGGTATCGTGTCTCTGGATCTGCGAGCCAACTTCTCACAGATTGAAACGAATCGTGATGACTTGGGGTTGGTGTTTTCATTGTCATGTTCCAGTCGAGGTTTAAGAGATCAAGTGATGGAGTTGCCAATAGATGGGTCACAACTCACGCCCTCCACTTTCATAAAGCTGAAACCGGACGGGGATGTCGTCTTGTACTCCTGGAATTGGACGGGTACAAACTGGATAGATTTCTTCAGGTTTTCGACTCTCTTCAAGTGCTTTCTTCCAAGTGGATGTGGAAGATACAGAACCTGCAATTCAGCATCAGGCGCATGCGAGGAAACTTGTCCAGATACCTTTGCAAGAAGAGGTGAAGACTGCCAGCCACCATATCCACTAGAGACATGCGAAGACCAGCTCGAGTATCGATTCGTTCGAAGAGAGGGAGCTGATTACTTCTCCACAAATTATTCCACTCCAGTTCCTGAAGCATCAGTGGAGGCGTGTCAGGGGCGCTGTGAGTCGAACTGCACCTGCACGGCGGCCTTTTATAATGACGGGAGCTGCTTTCTCACGCACGGCGACGTGCAGTCACTCCGATCTGGGAAGTACGTTGCTCTGCTGAAAGTTGCCCGCCCTCGAAAGATTTCCAAGACGCAACTCCAGGCCATCACGTTGGGAGTACTTGTTCCAACAATGTTCCTGCTGATAGTCTGTCTCGGATGGCACTGCCGGAGGAGAAATAAGCATGATGACGACGAGGGAGAAGAAGAAAGCACCTTGCAGCTATCCCTCATGGCGGGTATGCCCAGGCGCTTCAGTTTCCAGGAGCTTGAAGAAGTCACAGGGAAGTTCAGCAACTGCCTCGGGAATGGAGGATTCGGAAGCGTTTTCAAAGGATTACTTGCCGATGGAACTGAAGTTGCTGTGAAGAAGCTCGAAGGGTCGAACCAGAGAAGTAAGGACTTTTTTGCGGAAGTTGGAATTCTAGCCAGGACGCACCACTGGAACCTCGTCAAGCTGCTGGGATTCTGTGCGCAAGGACCCAGGAAAAGGCTCCTTGTGTACGAGTATATGAAGAATGGCTCTCTAGAGCAGTGGATATTTGAAGACGACAGAATTCCTGGGAATATTTCGTGGAAACTTAGATTCAACATCGCAATAGGCACAGCGAGAGGATTGAACTACTTACACGATGACTGTGTTGAAAGGATAATCCACCTGGATCTGAAGCCGGAGAACGTACTCCTCGACGATGGTTTCCAGCCGAAGATAGCAGACTTCGGATTGTCCAAGCTCATGGACAGGAAGGAAAGCGAGTTGCAGCTGACGACTACGAGAGGCACTCCTGGCTATGTTGCACCAGAGTGTATTCAGGAAGGAACGGTGACTGAAAAAACAGATGTTTTCGGCTTCGGGGTTCTGCTGCTTGAGATCATAACAGGCTGCAAGAACAGGAACCTCTCAGGCGACTACCTGAAGGACTACTTGTTGGTTAGTAACAGAAACGGTAGTGCCGCTGCTCACCTCTCTGAAGAAGAGAACGAAAAGGAAAGATTGAAGAATGTTGCGGCGATGTGTGTTCGAGACGATCCAAACTTACGGCCCTCGATGAGCAAGGTTATACAGATGATGGAAGGAGTTACCGAGCTGCTTCAAGTACCTTTGGAATCGGAGCTGAATTTCTTTTTCGCTTCCAGACCCAAAGATCAGCAAAGAGCCTCGAACGTGAGTTATCGGAGTTCTGATAAGTTTCTGAACTCATCTTCCTCGTTTACTGCCTTCTCACAATCTAGCCTGAATGCCCGATGAAATTATACATTACAACATTGAACGAAAAATATACCTTCGTTGATTCGCTACTGCTGAAACTGTTGCGCTAAGCCAAAAACAATGTAGCTGCAATATCATTGAATCATCAACCTCCAAAGAAGAACAGTTATATCTTCTCCTATTTGAGTTCCAGATACTCATAAAGGAAATTCGTCGTCGAAGTCTGTAGAAAAATCGTCAATCAGTACGTGATTCGAAACTAGAAATTATGAGAAGAAACCGTTTCGAGCTTCGGCTTTCAGCAATAGCAGGCTACAAAAAGAAAAACCTCGCGAAATATCCTGAAAAGCTCCATCAGGAACACAAGAAAAGAGAAAGATTGCCAATCGTCAAAAAGGCAATATTGAGCTTAAAATCGCAGGTGATCTTGAGAGAAAAGGATGGAGCTCCCTCATAAGAGTTTCGAAAAGATGCTGAAGCTATCAATATCGTTCAAGGATTTGCCACAACACGAGTCCATCTAGAGCATAAAAAAAGAAATAGCAATGGACGCGATTCTTAGCTTGAAAACCAAAATTTACCAAACGATGGCCTGGAGCTAACACAGTTGGAGCACAAAAGTAAGCGCATCACAGCGCACTCTTCCTCTATCAACGAACAGCGACCAAAGTGTGAGCGTCCATCTAAAGCCAAAGGAATTCTTTGTGTAAGCGAAATATACCTCAGATTTCACGGATCTTCTGTGACGAGCTCCAGCGCCAACAAAAAGAAATCGCGCCATGGCATTGCATTCTACAAATTGCGAGGTTAATCAGCCGCAAGAAATCGAAACTAGAGAGAGCAACTCAATGAATGAAGTGTCACCTCAAAGATTCACCACAGTGCTCGAGCAGCATTGCGCCGATCTCCACGGAAATGCGATGTTAGAGCTCTCGATCGGCAGAAATCCATCGCATTTTCCGAGCTCCATCCCTGGCCCATTCATAAACCCTAGAACACAAACCCACTTTAAAAGGCCTTAACAGGTCCCGCGTTCGATTCTAAGCAAAGGTTTATTATTTATCCACGTATGATCCAAAACATTCTTCGCAATCTAGCGAGCCAAGGATTTCACAGCGTCTCGCAGCCTCGTGTAGTCCTCGAGCTTGTTGTAAATCTGGTGAGAAACTCTCGCGTACGCCGTCCCGGATCTCATGCTCTTCGAATTCGCGCTGGGCGATCCCCCCGCCTGGAAGCAAATCGGGACCTCCACTCCAAACTCCCTGCGCAGCCTCGTCCTCATCTCCAGCGCCGCCTCCTCGCTCGCCACTTCCAGCTTCGCCGGGAGCTCCACCATCGCCATGGACGAAGCAAGCTCGGCACACGTCCCACACTGCGTCCCCCACGCCGCCGCGAGCATCTCCGCCATCGCCATCGCCCCCCGGTGATTGAAAGCGATGAGACTGGAGAGGCCACCTAGATTCCCATCGATGAACTCCACCGCGGCGGTCACGGCGAGCTGGGAGCTGTAGTCTCTCGTCCCCACCCAAGAACACTCGCTGAAGAGCCCCAGCTTGAAGTTGTGAGACACCACCGGGTGGTGGAGGCGCTCCAGATGCTTGGCCTTGGCGTGGAGGAACGCGACGCTGTGTGGAGCGAAGAGCCACTTGTGGAGATTGCTCGAGTAGTAGTCGGCGTCGATCTCCTCCATGCTCAGCTCGATGTTGCCGATCGCGTGAGCGCCATCCACGAAGATCTGCTCCACTCCAGCGTCGCGGCAAAGGGCGACGAGATCTCGCGCCGGGAGAACCACCGATGGCATCGAGGTGATGTGGTCGATCACCGCCAGCCGGATGGTGGTGGAGCTCTTGGCGGCCTGCTCCAGCGATCGCTGGAAGCTGTCGATGATCTGCCGGGCGGAGAGAATTGGAAGCGCGAGCTCCACCTCGATGATCCTCGCGCCTGCGCGAACAGCGTAGGCCTCGAAGCACTTCTTCACGGCGGCATAGCTGCAGTTGAGCATGAGGATGGCGTCGCCGGGGTGGAATCTCTTCTCCAGGAATCCCCACGCCATGTCCTGGGCGATCATCGCCGCCGCCGTGGTCACGTTGTCCACCAGGACGATCTCCTCCACGTCGGGGGCGCGGATGATGGACGCGATCGCCTCCCGCGACGCGCGCAATCCCTTCTCCAGGGGGCCGAAGTAGAACTCGTCCGGCTGCTCCAGCCACTGCCTGTGCCACCGCTGCTGCGCCTCCAGGACCGATCGAGGACAGCTCCCAAAGCTCCCATTGTTGATTCTCGCGATTCCTTGCCTGTGGTGCGAGAATTCGCGAGCCAGCATCTCCTCCCAGATCTTGCCGGATTCCACAATCGGCATTCTCTGGATACTCCCGGCCTCTTGCCCTTGCATCGACACAGTCATGGCGCCGCGCCCTCGATCGATCAAAAATCCCTACCCTCGTCGCGGGGATCAATCCAGCACAACAGCACTGGATTTCGCCCTTCCTAGAAGAATCTACAAACTCACAATCTCGCGAGAAATAGGTCGAGTTGCCCTGCCGCCATAGCTCAAGCTTCTGCCCTTAAAAACGAGCCTCTTATTCCCTGGATATTCTCAATTGTCCGTTATTATATGAAGGAATCCATCGTCTTGGAAAATGACGTGCATGCATTAAGCTCAATGGCTTTGCATATGCTATTTGCATATGCCCGGATATCCAAAGAAGCTAGCTTTGCAGCAAAGGCAAAACAATTCCTCCACGAAAGAAGGAATCGATCGATCAAAAAAATTGTTGCCATAGCTTTTCGAGATGCTTGCTATCCTGCGATAGAAGAATAACAAAGATTGTTAGATCTCGATTCCTCTGGAGAAAGATCGTCAAACCTTTGCTTGTGTTATTCGAGACGCTATCGCCCATCCTGTGATAGAAGAGTAACAAAGCTTGTTAGATTGCAATTCTTCTTTAGAAAGATCATCAAACCTTTGCTTGCGTTTTCGCTTTCCTGGAATCCCGTGCTCCGTGCGAGTTACTTTCTTGCTTGCGTTTTCTCTTGCCGACGTCCTCGTACTCGATTGGATCGATTATCACTCCCGCTCGTTTGATTATCTGCGTGGTAATCACGTTTACAATCAAATCAAAACAGGAAGATCGAGAAACAGTAAGAAAAGCAAAGCTTACAGATGGTCGTGTCAAGTCCTGAAAAGCTTTGGTTGGGTTGTAATCACGCCCCAATGGCATCCGCATTGTTTTCTCGAAAACTTCTCTCGATGTGTAGGGGAATGGCAGCGACGACGACAGGAACTTTGCAGCCTGTTACACAGAGAAGTGAGCAAAGAAAAGGAAGAACAAGAAAACCTACCTTCTTATCAGTCTTCTGGCTGATGATGACGTGCTTGAGCTTTGCATCCAGTCTCCGCTTCTCGGCCTCTTCTTTCTTTCGCTTGGCCTCCTCCTGTTGCTTTAGCATCCATTGTGGAGGACCTCTCTTCTTCTGGATGTCTGTCCACTGCCCCCACCCTGGTAAGTCCATTCTCTCGAGTTCTTCTTGGGGACACTCTTCGTCCACTGCGGCCGCTTTTGCTTCTTGGAACTCGGCCTCCACATCGTCTCCAGCAAAAGCCTCTCGAATCAGATCCTCTTGACTACGTGGAACTATGACTTCGTCACCGTCGTAATCGAGATCTTCCTCTTGTTCTTCCACGCTGTTTTCCTGCTCTGGTACAGTTTTTTTGTCCTGCTTGTGACTCGTATCCTTTGGCCGCCCCGCAATCGCCACCTTAAAACTTTCGTCTGCTACGCTTTTGCTGTTTGTTTCTGGCCTCGCAACTTCGTCCGTGCCGAATACTGTCGGGTTTGCACTGATAACCGAATGCTTTGTCACCTCCACTCCCATCGCATCTTCAAGTCTAGTCGCCGATTCCTTGTTTTTGCTTTTCTTCTTCTTTTTCTTCTTCGTCCTCTCGCTCTTGTCTCCAGCTATCGTGATTGGTTCGTCAACTTTCGTGGTGTGCTCCACGGCAGCGCTAACCTGTATGAACACATTAGTCTTATTTTCAGGAAAGAGGAGCTATACCGGCTTACCATTCCTTCTAGATCAACATCCTCAATATCAACGGCATTGACAGGAACAGGATCAGATTTTCTCTTTTTCTCCTTCCTCGTGACTAATAGCATCTTCGTTCCCATCAACGGAGATTCATCTTCTGAGTTTTCACTATCGGTTCCACGCTCGACCATGTCATCTTCTTCATCGATAGCTTTCATAGCGGACACCTTGTCTGCGTGGCCTCCAAACGACAGTTTCCCTTTTAATGGGCCAGTTTCCTGGCTGGGACCAGCATCGTCAGCTCCAGCAGATTCAAGTTCTTCTAACACTGCTCGGGCCTCATCTTCTGCTTCTTTTCTCTTTTTCTCAATCGCACGGACCTGAAAGAAAGTGGTAGAAGTAAAGATGAGTTCAATTAAAATGCATGAGTATTTACCATGAATGGAAGAGCAAAGATACCAGTAGTCGGTAGCTCGGTGTCGTTGGTTCCTTCTTCCAGTGCTTTCAACGTAGCGACCTTGGCTTTGGCTAGCACTCTTGATCCAGGCTTTTCTAGCACAAGTCCCGGCTCATCATCCTTATCACTGTCGTCTTCCTCGTCCTCGTCACTGCTACTGCTCTCAGACTTGGCAGAATGAATTTTTCTCGTCAACAACGCGTGCTCACGGAGCTGCTCTGTGATAGCCTCTCTTGTTCCCTCATTGTGTTGCTGCAAGCCACGCTTTAGAATTCTTTTTGCCCAGCGAGACGTGTTTTTGTGTTTCAATGTCATGCGCTCCTGCAAAACAGGAAGATTAGTAAGTCATCTGGATACAGGAGACTAAAACTTTTACCCTTGCACGATTCAACTCCTGCTTCATAGTTTCCTCGAGTTGTACGTCAGGATCATCCGCCAACATATCTGCTTTGGTCTTCTGCGATTTCCTCGCAAGCCGATGAAACGTTTTGGACTTGATCTTTTTTACTCTCTTGGCTCTCTCCTCGTGACGGAATAGAAGATTACGCATTTTAGCAAGTCTCTCTTGACGATCCCTGACTTCATCAACCGATAGCTGCACAAAAATAACGCTAGTAATTTACCAGAGGAAACATCAAAGAGCCAACCAATACCTTGTTAAGCTCGAGGCTTTCCTTGGCCTCAATTTGAGAAGGATCGGCCACACCGTTTTCCTTTAGCAAAGCTGCCACCTCCTTCTCAAACGCTGTCGAAGGCTTGAAATCAGCGACCATCGACGTCGTTGATGAAAGGGCGACGTTTACTTTGTCAATAAACTTCAGTGTAGAGGCTTCACGATTCCTTTTCACGATCGGCTGCCACTTGCTGATGTCCTCAACAGTTTTCTCGTAGCCAGCTTGTCTATCGATCTTCTCCTGAATATTTTTCGGCAGCGGTACCGACACCGGAGCCGCACTCTTTTGCAGTGATCGAACCCGTTTCTTGAGCGCATTAAATCCAGGCTTTTCCTGGAGTGGAGCCAGCAAATCCTCAACAGTGATTGGCACTTCTTCATTCTTATCATCCATGTAGCTGATATCTTCCTTGACCTTCTTAGCTACGTAGACAAAGAGCAGTCTTTTAGCCATAGCTGAGAGAGAATAGAAAAGCACGTACCATGTCGGTTCGCTTTACCAGTGACTTCCATGAGCATTCTATCATGGAGTTCTTCCTGATCTCCTTCTTCTTCGTCTCCCTCGTCATCTTCATCGTCGTCATCTTCCAGTGATTTATCATCCAAAGTTCCAACATTCTCCTCTCCAGACGCAGCACCTTCATCGATCTCCTCGTCCTGCAAACGCCCCACATTCAATTCCAGAAGCAAAACAAACACAAAATCTCACCTCGAAATCCGATGGAAGCTCGTACTCCAGCTTGTCCACCTGGTCAAACCGCCTGTTCTTCCCGGACTCCTCCTGCGGCACACCCTCTTGGTACTCGTACAAATCGCTGGCAACCGAATCGGGCTCATCCGCCGGCTTGCCGGATTTGCGAGAATGCCGCCTCTTGCGATCATTCAGATCCAGCGGCAGGCCAATCTCCTTGAGAAGACGCGATGGGTAATTTGGCCCGGCATCCCTGCCCTTGCCTCTTCCTCCCCTGCCTCTTCCTCCCCCTCCCCTTCCTCTTCCCCGCTTGGGCGCCATACCTAAACCCTAAACCTTCACAAAAAACTTAACCAAATAACCATTCCACCTTTGTTAAAAAACTTACCAAACACAAGAACTTTCGTCCTGTGGCTTTTGCGTTCCATCGTTCCATCGTAAAGCTTTAGTATGGTCCCATGCCATCTATCTATCTATGTATTTATCTATCGTTATGATCCACATGGAGAAATATTACAAACCAAAAGCCATGAAGTACCTTCACTCCAATTGCGATAGAAGAGCCAAAGTTTCTCTTCACTCGAAGAACAAAGAAGCATAGTGGCAAACTATTAAAAAAAAAAACACATTACAAAAGCATAACAAAGCTTGGTGAAACACATTCATTGTGGTGGTTTTCCGGGCTGGATTTGATTATTTTTGGTGTGATGGTAGATCTGGCACACTTGAGGAAGAGATTCCAGTGGCGAGGTGCTGTGCATTTCGCTGGATCATAAATTTCCGTTGTGCTGCATGACTTTGAGGTACTTCTGGGACTGCACAGCGCAGGCTCTAAGCAAGTTGGGGATCCTCCACAGACCTTATCACAGATTCTTGTGCTCCTCTTTACATCGTGTTCGGTAGGAGATACGAACACTGAACACTTTCTTTGAGCCTGCTTCCATAGGAGTAGCCACCGGATTAGCGTTAAGCATGGAGATGGATAGATTTAACCAAATAAATATCAAAGAACTTCATAAAAACTTTGTGCTCGTTTGATTACAAACCAAAAGCCATGAAGTACCTATCTTCATTCCAGATGCAGCTGGTTCAAAACAGCGGTGCTGTTCTCAAACTCTCTCTTCACTTTGACGCGCTCGAAGAACACCGGACAATCTAGCGAGACGCACAGCACCTCGCCACTGGAGTCTCCTCCTCCACAAGTGTGACAGATCTACCAAAAACAAAATCAGTTCCAGCCAGGAAAAAACAACCACAAACTTACGGCTTGAATGTGTTGGAGCTCTCTTTCGACTCTGCTCGCTCGACCACCAAGCACGACACTTATAAGCCGTTTGTCCGACAAGCATCGCTGACAAGTTAGCTGCCGCCGTCCCTGTGTCATGAGATCTCCACACACTGCGCAGTGCTGCGATGCGTAGTAATGGTCGATCCTTCCTCTTCGAGCACTTCCTCCTCCGTCATCACCATATTCCTGGTAGTTTTGGCGTGGCCTTTTCGCAGCAGGAAGCTGATAGACGCGGGACATATCGTAGAGCCATGCTCGAAGATCAACTCCAACGAGGCCAAATACTCTCTGGAGCGCCGGCAAGATCTGCTTGTTGATGTAGTAAGTGTCGTGCAGCCGGAAGCCTTTGCTGTCATCCAAGAGCGAGTATGGATCCACCACCATGTCCACGAGACGTGCACCGGGCTTGCCATGAACCACCACGTACTGGATGCGTTCTCCGTGGCATGGCTCGGCACGGGGATCCACAGCCATGGCTTTGGACGCAACGATGGCCGCTGGAGGCAGCACTGATGACTTTGTGCTGTAAGTCCCGAGCCGGACCTCCTTTGAGAACACGAAATCCTGGATTGACGTTCTTCCGCTGAAAATCTTTTGCCACTGGCGCTGCAGGTATTGTTTTACCTGTTGGGAAGAGCAGCACATCAATACCGAACAAGAAAGCGACTACTACCTTTGAAAGATCATATGTTTCAAACAGTAGCCTCAGAGACTTCTCCATTGTCTTGGCAACAGCAGCACAGCTATCACGTCGCACTGTTTCAATCCCTTTCGCGTCGAAAGTAGGAGTTTCTTGAGTGGGAGATTCATAGCTGTATCCCACATAACGCTTCTTTGTCAAAAGAACGCAAGGATGATACACTTTTTCCATCTTCAAGGCCACTGGATGAGGATTCACTGCTGTGACAGCGGAAGCTATTTCATGGCCAATCTTAAAGGCCTCGCTTCGCGAGCGTCCTTCTAAAAGTACAAACATACTGCAAACAAGCACCATTAGATACGAAAAAGCATTTCAGTTCACATGCCTGTCGGTGTCGCCGTAAACAACCCGTGCACCCCAAGCAGGATTGCTGTTCACCATGTTGATTGCTTGCTCTAAAGTATGCCTTCCAAGTTGAACTATACTGTCAGCTAGCTCTGCGCATGGCATTCTCCCACTGAAACCAGCCGCTGCGTAACCATATGTGACGTTTGCTATAAGCTTAAGAGCGAACTGCCGAGCATTGAAAATCTGTAAAAACGAAGCAACTGTCATTACATTCGAAAGAAAAAAGATAATTCAACGGACTCGGTGAAGAACTCTCTGCGATGCATCCAGTTTCTTCATTTTGCCTTTCACCATTATCCGCGTGGAGAGTATTTCTAGCAACAACCTTGGGAGAACTCCAGGAGCAATCTGGTTCAACGAGTGTAAGAATCAGCATAAGATTGTGAAACAGATATGGTACCTCAGGTGGAACAAACATGATCCCATTGGGAGTGACGATCAACTTATCCACTAGACTCCGTAGTAGCGACGGCGGTATCCATAATTTAGTCACCCCGAGAACTTTCGGGTTTAGAGAGATGCATTTACCCAGACACGTCGAGAAGCAAAGGTTGTAAGCAATTATCATGGAGGGATAGAGTGACTGGAAATCGAGCACTACAACCGGGCTCGTATAGAGTTTCGATTCTGGTTCCAATACAAGTGGCAGACACTCCATTGCCGGTTGTGCAGCCACCTACAAGACAATACAATAAGTTGTAAGGAGAAACTTCGTCAATATCATAAGTACCTGTTCTTTAGAAGGAGAGATAGCCAAGAAATTTTGCGAATGTGCAAGGCGCATCATCATAGATTCGACACGGTACTGCGAGCCCCGAGAAAATACAGAATAGAAGTCGATACCGAACACTCTTGCCAACTCTGCGGTTCTATTTACCTGCAAAAACATGTCAGACACAGGCTTGAAATACAGTATGCACTCACAATATCGAGCTGATCAAGGATTTGTAAGTTCAAAGCCGTTCGGTTGATCAAGTACTCGACGGATCTAAACCTGTTTCCTCCGGCTCCACTTGCAAACCACTTTGTCAGGTCTCGCCAGGAAATACGAGGAACTTTTCTCTTCAGAACTTCCTCCCCAACGCATTCTATAGTGTAGTTGCTAAGCTTGACTTCTCCTCGCATGATGCGCCACAGGTTTAAGACAGTCCGGCCACCAACGTAAATTCCACTTCCGTGAGTTCGGCCCCATTCGTCTTGGATGATGGTTTTGTTGGCCTCGGCGATTCCACCAGTCTTCTCACCATCCGAGAAAAAGGTGCTGCTCAAGCTGTTGTGACCGCTTCTTGGTGGAGTACGAGAGATAGATGCCAAAAGACCAACTCCAAGATTAGCAGCCCGTTCAGCGAGGAATCCCAAAGAAAGCCTCTGAATCTCCCATCCAATTATGATGTCTGGATCGTAAGCCCGTACCAACTCGATAAAAAACTGCAGAAGAGCTACTTCAGTGGGGAAGTAGCTTGTATTGGGAGAGCATGAAAGACCATCCGAAGGCCTGTTTAAAAGGAACATCAGTAACAAGCTGGACTTACACAAACAACAAACCTCTTGCCATCTTGTAACTCTTTATCGTGGATAAGAGCGATAGTCTCTCTTGTTGTTTCTGTATCATCTGCCACAACGATCGCAATGCAGCTGATTGAATCGTAATGCGGATCCGGTCGCAAGGAACCGCGTGTTTCAGCAAGAGCCTGCCAATGTTCTCGCATTGGAGTTTCAAGTCGTAAATAAATAAATCAGAAAGGCTTATACCTCTATGCTCATGACTGTGACTTGCTGACCAGCACCAGCTGCTGCAGGATCACGAAAACCAGTCTGGCTAGCCGGAGTAAGCCGATGAGCCGCCAAGGACGGGCCTGTGATCTGAGAAAAATCTCTAGACCGTCGTTTAGCTTCAGCACTCCCTTCCAACGTCGTGTTTGAGTGCTCACCGCTTTGAAACTCGTCCGAAAGTACGTGCATTTCATTGTACTTTGGAGACGCTGGTCTGCCGGATGGTGTCTCTAGTGTCGATGCTACATGTTCCTTTTGCAAAGAGTTTAACGCGAGGTTTTCTTTTGCAAGCCACTCACAGACGGAAGAATTCGATGGAGGCGCCAGTGCAGGAGTTAAAAGATGGATAACGGTATCATCAATATCAAATCTCCTCGCAGGATCACCAGCAAATATTGCCGCTGTAAAGCAGCAGGCGTTAAAATCAAGAGCACAAAAGCTGAGAAACATACCACTTTTTTCCATATCCTCCGAGCCTCCATAAGATACATTCGGGTACTCCACGTCCTTCAGGCCGTAGCTCTTGAAGCTTGCAAGGATATCATTGTTACTTGGAGGCCGCTGGTGAAAAATCATCGCCAGCTCTCCATTCTTCGGCAAGACTACATCCTTTTCCACTGCAGCAGCTGGCTGTGAGTTTTCGTTGTCACCGGAAGTTTCAACAGGCTCAGTGGTCATGTGACTTTGCAAGGGAAGAGCTCCATACTGGTTTAACAAGCATTTCCTCAAGCCTTGCGGTTTTACAGCGCTCTCAGTTTCTGGTTCCTGTTGTCTGCCACCTTTCTGCTTCCCACGTTTGATTCTCATCAAATCACGGACTGAAGTTTCCGACCTGGATTCTCTTGCCTGCTCCTGAGGTGATCCACAGGGACGTAAAGGTACAGCAACGCTTGCTTCTTCTTTTCCTGGCTTCGCAGGTGATCCTTTGACAGTTATCGGAAGCCGTCCCCAACTCCTGTTACCCACTCTTTTACCCGTCTCAGTCACGTCGGCTGGAGGTTCTTCATCCCCTGCTCCATCATACTGCGGAATTCTGATTCCAGAAGTACCTTCTTCAGCTACTAAGACCTCTTTTTCTTCTCCGTCTTCTTCAAAACAGTCGACAATATCCTGGCACTCCCTTTGCGACATAATCTCAAACGTGGACAACGTTTTCTGAAGTGCCGCTTCTACCCCATCACCTTCAAAAAGTCTGCATAAGTCGATTTCGCCGTGATCTTGCTCGTTGGCTGCTACCACATCACCTTCACAATTGTTGTTCTGGGAAGACACCATCCACTTGAGAAGTTCCAGTGCGTCCTCGTCAGCTGCCTGAAAAAGATGTTAGACACGAGGACGACGAAAAGAAAAACGCACCTTCCAAAGGTCGGGTTGAGACGTGCTTTGAGCCATTTCATTGTGAAGGCTGTCCTCCGGCGTCGGCTTCACCTCTTGGGAGAAGCCTTTCGCAGCCGAAGGAGACCGATACAGATTTGCCGGTTGTGAGCTTTCAAGTAGATCGTTATCTTGCGGCTGTGGCGTTGCTCCAGACATCCACACGGATTTCAAAATTTCTTTATGAAGAGCCTCCGCAGCAAAATGCTTATGCGGCTGTGGAGAAAGGAAGCTGCTCGTCAAGTCCTCTTGCTCCTGTCCCTGTAAAACAAGGGACATGAACGAGATTATTTCTGGAAGAAACATGCCATGCACAAAGACGGCAGACTGAAACGATGTCTTACACCGTCTAAGAGCAAGCAGCTTGCGGGCTTCTTCGCACCTCCCAGATAGGTATCAAAGACTGCACGAGCATTCTTCCAGGATCTATTTGCTCGAGAGGCGTATAAGAAAGTGAATCCTTGTTGAGGATCGCTGCAGCAGCGTCAATGTCAGAATAAGATCTTACAAGCTAACGTCAAGAGACAAACCTTCTACGGGAGCATCAGCTTCTAGCTCGCACGTACTGCATCTGGAAGGCGACGCTTTATCCTGAGAGAGATCTGACCAAACTTGGTGCGATGGAATGTTCGAAGATAACCAAAAATCATGAATGTCGTAATCACTTGACGATGTAAACCAGCTGCCATCGTTTTCAGCGGCTGGAGTGTTGAGTGCTGATATTTTCCTTTTCCTCTCGTTCGGCGTGTCGGGTAAAGGCGATCTAAAGCGCAAACTCGAGACTTCTAAGAGTCCCATTCCTGCCAGATTGTAGTCTATCTGAGATTGGAAACATCATTATTATCGAAACAATCACAGCCTTGTCTAACCTTCAATTGCAGCAGGTAAGGGATGTGAGCTTCGTAAGGTTGGAACTTGCGGTTTAAAATTCCACCACTCTGCAAAGCTTGTGTTACGAGAAACGAAACATCACTGGAGCTTATTACCAGTAGAAACGCGCTCATTTGGCTCGCTTCTTGAGGGTAGTATCTATGATCAGTCAAGAAAAGCCCATAGAAAAAAGAAAGAGAGAGAGAGATAGAAAGTCCCAAGGATACAAAGTTATTTTGATGAATGTGTCCTCGGATGGATGATAGCCGTAAAGCTTTTTCGCTCGAACGAGGTCGCAAGAATGTACGTGTTGTCTCTTGGCTCCAATGGAACTAGCCATCTGTGCAAAGGTCATACTAAGGCATGTATCAAGTACAATTGAGTGTTACCTTCATAGCTCTCTCGAGAGCCAACGCTAAACGCCGGACAAATGCCATGGCTGAAAGAAAAAAGATAAATGGAGAAAAGAGATTCGCGTAGTACCTTCTTCTAAGCTCTGAGGAAGATCGTCATCGTAAGGAACATAAAAGTATGGGAGAGCCTGAAATTGGACAATTGCGAGTGATTTCTCGGCTTCTAAATCATCACTACCTTGTGAAGATGCAAGCAAGTCTTCTGCCCCGCGAGAGTAGAACCATAGATTCTCACTACAGGAACTTCCATCACGCTCCTCCCTGGCAATCTCTCCTTAAATCTCACCGCTAAAACGAAGAAGTCCCAGCTCACCGAAGAAATGCGAGTAGCACTCGTCCATGTCCACCAGCGGCGCCGCCGTGTAGTAATCCAGGTTCACGATGCGAATGCCGAAGACTCGCTCCCCCTCCTCCAGCTCCGCCATAGCCCGCGCGGGCGCTTCTTTGACACGAGAAAACGAAGAATTAGGGTTCTAGCGGGAATATCCCAAGAGCATATATTTCGTTGCAAAAAAGGCCCTTTACTGTTTGCCGAGGCAGTTTTGCGGTTAGGGCAAGCGTTGTGCGATTCGCTGGGAGAGGAGGGATCGCGGCGCGCGCAGCGATGTTTTCCAGGGGGTAAGCTCTCTCAATCCTTTCGGCAATGCATCAGGATCTATAGGTCATTCCAGTCCCAGTCCTGCATTCTCCGTGTCAAGAGAGAAATTTCTTCCTGGATTGCCTGAAATCGCCTGTGTCTGGCACACTAAATCCACAGCTAAGAAGGAACGAGTGTTTCCTACTTGCGAGTCAGTCCGAGAGACAGAGAAAAAAAAAATCGAGAAGAAGAGTAAGAACAAAGAACTCACAGCACAAAGAATTGTGAAAGAAGAGAGAAAGAGTGTTTGTGTGTGAAAGTTTCTAGAGAGGTTTTTTTCTTTCTTTTTCTTGTTAAGTGGGATGGGAAGAACAAGCTAGAGCTATGCACACACCCAAAAACAAAAGTTTCAAAGTTTGTTGAGCATCTGTCGATGGGGTGGGCTTTTCTCTGTTTTAAGGAATTTATTGGGGAGCGGGGGAAGTGCCGACGGATACGAGGTTGCAGCAGCAAAGAGGCAGCGCTTGCTAGACACTGCAGGCTCTTACTTTGGAAGCTCGCCTCATGCCACTGCTGCTCATGCGAGCTTCATGTACGGGGGCCCCGGATTTGCCTTCCTGGGCCAGCCGCGACCCTTCCCAGTTGTCCGACTGCGAGGACTCCCGTTTAACTGCTCAGAGAGTGACGTATTCGAATTCTTTGCAGGCCTGGATGTGGTGGATGTGCTGCTCGTCCGGAAACAGGGAAGGTTCTCCGGCGAGGCCTTTGTGGTGCTGGGAGCTCCCATGCAAGTCGACTTTGCTCTCCAGCGGAACAGGCAGAATATGGGACGGAGGTACGTAGAGGTCTTCCGGAGCAAGAAGCAGGACTACTACAGTGCCGTGGCCACGGAAGTTAACGATCCCAGGTCCGGTGATGTCTTGGCGACGCTCGCTTCTTCGGCCGCTGGAGGTGGCGGTGGCGGTGGCGGCAGCGGCGGCGGTGGTGGTGGTGGTGGCAGCAGCGGGAAGAACAGCTTGTGTGACAAGGATCTGGCCGAGCACACGGGGGTGCTCAAGCTGCGGGGGCTGCCATTCTCGGCGTCCAAGCGGGATATAGTGGAGTTTTTCCGGGAGTTTGGGCTCAAGGAGGACAGCGTGCAGATTGTAGTTCACTCGGATGGCCGGGCGACCGGGGAGGCGTACGTGTTTTTCTTGGGACCGGGGGACTCCAAGGCGGCCATGAACAAGGACAAGATGACACTGGGGAATAGATATGTGGAGCTCTTCCCGTCTTCTCGAGAGGAGGCCAACAGAGCCGCGTCCAAGTCGAGATAGCCGGCGCTACTTGTATTATCAACCAACGCTTTTCGAGCAGGAGCAATGCACAGACGTAACAACGATGACAACGACGACGAAGACGACTTCTTTCTTCATCTCAACTCTATATAGGCGGGGGAAAGTAAGGAAAAAATACTGTACTCTTTTTTTCTTCCTCTCTCTTTCTCTCTAACGCTTGGGGGGATTCTTTTATACTAGCTAACATCTAGGTGGTGGCCGTGTACGTCTGGGCCATTGTTACTACATTTCCACCATGAACAAAGATTTTTCTTAAGAAACATAAAACTCTCCGGTATCTCTGGTACTTGGTATTTTTTCCGATTGAACTTGCTGGTACTGATCCATCTCCTGAAAGTTTTTCACAGACAGAGACACGGAGAAAAACAAAGAAAGCAAAAAACCCGGAGTACCCGGATAAGCTTGACATTACCTGAGAGAGAGAACTCGGTACAGACAGCAGTTCTAGGACCGACCACCTCAAGGAGCAAGGAGCAAAGGAAAGAAGCTTTTAGAGCACAACTCTATGGATCCGAGACCGACTAAAAGAGAGGTACCACCTGTAGAGAGCGAAGAAAGTTCAGTCTCTAATCACTCTCTGCTCGAAAGTTTTCTTTCTGAAATCCAAGCAGAAGCAGCAGCAGCAGCAGCAGCAGCAGCAGAAGCAGTAGCAGGAGAAGAAACAGCAGCAACAGGGGCAGCAGTGGTAGTGTTGATGCTGAGAGAAGAGGCAGCGAGGTCGAGATACTGGAGCCTGTAGCTTAAGTTGTGGGCATTCATTCTCAGCTCACGGTTGCGCAGCATCAACTCGCGATACTCGTTCACAGCCAGGCTTACCTTGTACCTGAGGAGCCCGTTTTGCTGGCGGAGATGCTCGAGAAGCTGCGTTGTCTCCTCAAGCTGGATTTGCTTCTTGAGGCGCGAGCGCTTGGCGGACTCGCGGTTGGATTGCATCCGCTTCTTTTTTCGCAGCTTCGTCAGATTCTCTTCCTCGTCGTCTTCGTCGCCAGCTTGGTCTTGGATCAGGAAGTCTGGTAAGGAAACAGAGTCTCTGTGAAGTTATGGCTTTGCATTTCGAGGTACTTACGTTGCTCCAAAGCTCCAGGAACTTTGGAAGGTTTGAGGAGAACTTACCTTCGACTTCTAGGTGAACTTCTGGCATGGTGACTCCTGAGAGATCATCGACCTGAGGTACAAAGACAAAACTTCGAATCTCACCTTTGAAATCACAGGCGATTCCTCCAGACGAGTCACTCGAGAACTCGAACATGGCGAGAAAGCTCTCTGCAAGAAGAAACCTCTGTTGAGATCTTCTCATTCGCTCAAGGAAATAGAAAAAAGAATGGAACCTGTAGTGTCAGTCATCCAGGAGAAATCCCTATGAGCACGTTTTCTCTCGTTTCCCTCTTTGTGCTCTTATACAACTAGCTTTTCTCCAAGATCCACGGCCGAGATCAATTGGACCAAAGATTTTTGTTTGCTACGACCACTGTCTAGTTGCAGTGAATTTGATTTGGTCGGGCCCCATTGTCAATAGATATCAAAAATTATTCGGCCCCACCCACGAGTTGGATAAGGCATAACTTTGAGCGCGGTTTTTTTCAAACGAAAAGCATATTCCCCATACACTCGGATTCCATGTCTCGAGTTTCCTGGCACGAAGATGATACTAAACAAAAACTTGAAAGCAACAATTCCTCCCCGTGATGCTGGATCCAACCTCATCACCACCAGTTTGTCGATCTTTCAAACTCATAGATCGCCTCCAGAAAACGAGAGTAGAACGTCAGTGCATGAACACTCGAAACTGAGACGTCTTTCTTGAGTTTCCTGGCGCAGGCATCTGTCGAATATGATCCTAATCGCTAGCTCGCGTAGAACACGCACCTCCTCTTAGCGATATGAAGCTCCGACGACGTTCTTGGACCGCCCCGAGGCACTGCTTTCGGTCAGCTTGTCGTCCATAAACTTGATATCAATACTAGCGGCAATCCATTCTTGAAGTTCACGTTACGTGTTCGGCCATTGTCATCTCGTCCTGCGGCCAGAAAGAAAACTCGTGAGATTCCAAAACTAGACAAATAATTCTCCAACCTTGAAGCTCGGCCCCGGTGGAGGAATCCCTGCTGTTGGAAGAAGTCCCAAACGTGAGATCAGTAAACAAAGAAATGAACCAGAACTAAAGGAAACCTCTCACCTTTGAGCTCAGCCAAAGCTCTGTGAAGTGTATATTAGAGAACGTAGTACTCCGCGTCTAGAAAAACTGGTGGAGGAACGAAGAATTCTAGCAGCCGGGGCGAAACCCAGAAAAAGCGCGAGCTCCTTCTCGGGAACGACGATCGCCTGCCAGTAAATCGGATCACTTTCCCATGTCCAAAAAAGTTTAAACAACACACAAAGAGGAAAACCGAAGTTCCACGAAAAAATCACACACAAACTTCCATGGTGAAAAGAATCACACACAGACAGGAAAAACCAAGTTCCAGCTCAGAACTAGACACGAAAAAAACTCACACACAAACAGGAAAAACCAAGTTCCAGCTCAGAACTAGACACGAAAAAGACTCACACACAAACAGGAAAAACCGAAGTTCCATGACGAAAAGAATCACACACAACCAGGAAAAATCCAAGTGCTAAACGAACTAGACACGAACACAAACAGGAAAACCGAGTTCCATGGCACTGCTAAGAACTAGAGACGAAAAAACTCTTACTCGTTCTACGCCCCTCTGGGGGACTGCTAAGAACTAGACACGAACACAAACAGGAAAAACTGACGTTCCATGGAACTCGAGACGAGAAAAATCTTACCGGAGGCCGAGGTCTCTCTAGGCGCTCGTTGTTTCCAGCCCTCTTGCATCGCTGGATTGACCTACATTGCCTCTATAGTTGCAAATTCGCCAAGGCCTTTGATTCTTGTGAATTTGATAATATGAATATATAAGTAAGAATAAGTAATTATTAATAAAAATATTAGATACAAAGTATTATTTGGAAATATTAACATATTTAGAACAGGAAAAAGTAAAAATGGAATTTTTAATACTAATTAGATATTACATGTAAATTAGTGTTTACTGGGATAAATTTATATTAAGATTTTATCAAACAAAAGTAAGAGAATATTGACTAAAAATAATCATTAATAATTTAGTTACACCCAGATCTAGTTAAGAAAATAATTACTAAGAAAATATTTTATAAAAATATATTATATACAAGTAAATTCAAATCTTATATTCTATAGTATTATGTACTAATAAAATATAGCTGTACTTAAAAAAAAGATTTTAAAATACTACTGCTTAATCAAATACTGCATATATTATCTTGATTTTTTGGTTTTGTTAAGCAAACTTTTAGGGGGAGTGGTAGTGAATATACCTAAAATATGCTTGTATATTCCAGGATATTTTACCATTTATTTGTTGTTATTTATTTAAATTAATCTTGTATTTATAATTTATAAACTTTCCTAAACACTTTCTTGTATTTTCTAGTTTATTCTACCATCTAATGGTTGATATTCAATAAGATTAATCTAGTGTTTATAAATTATAACTATATTTATAATTATAAATTTCCATTTGATCAATTTAATTAATAAACATGAGCTACATATAGATATATAATATATACTATTGCTTAATTTGTTTTTATTAATAATTGGAGCTTTGATCATGCTTACACACACATAAAACTATAGCAAATTCAAATTTAGTCAATTGATGCTAGTATCTTTAATATACCATCACCTAGTGTTAGGTTCCATATATTTCAATGATATCTAGACATAGACAAGTTATTATCAGGATGTCTCTGTATAAAGGACAAGTAAACATCTTCAAACTTACTGTAACTAAAACTTTTTATAACTAATTCTTTAAGCAAAAATCTTCACCAGCAATAGCACATTCCTAGAGCAAGAATTTACATGAATCCTGGTGGTAATCTCTTGGTATTCAACAAAATTTGCATTGTTCTTTGACTCCATGTTTGTAAGTTTTGCTCTGTTCCTTTATTCAGTGGCCCAAGGCCTTAAAACTTGGGTTCCACAATTGTCCTTTGGACATGTGGCATGTGGCATGTGGTATGTGACATGTGGCATATGGAGGGTTTAAGTTTTGCTTCATGGTTATCTTATGGTAAATCACCATAGGATAAAGGGTAAAAACCACATGCACTACATTAATAAAGTTTGTGTCAATTATCAATTGTTATAACATAATAGTTAGTGTAGAATAATCTAGAATATAATAAAAATGTTTAGGAAAGTTTATAAATTATTAACATATTTATAATTTATAAATACAAGATGAATCTAAATGAATAACAACCGTTAGATAGTAGAATAATTTAAATAATATCCAAACATATTTTAGGCATATCCACTACCTAAGATATTCAATAATATTAATCTTATATTTATAAATTATGAACATAAACTTCCATTTGATTAATTGGATTAATAAATATGAATAACACTATTATTAAGTAAACTAAGCGTTGTTGTATGAAACACACAGTAAATTATTTCTATAAAATATCTCTTTTAAACTTTGAAAAAAATTAAATTATCATTGGAAGTTTAGGCTTTCTTAAGATATATGTTTAAAATATTTTTAAACACACATAAATTGGTTTCATATCTATATAACATTGGTTGAACGCATTTATCATTAATATTTTATATGTTTTAAGTCGATTAAGTATGGAAAGCAATTTGTGATGGTAGTTTTGGTGGGGGGAGGTACACCTCCCAAGAAAGGAGATGTATCTAGGATGGGTGGCTTGGCAAAAAATCATGCAAGCCTGCAAGATATATATACAAAAAAATATATGTGCTTAAATTGTTATGACTTACAAAATAATATTATGAGCATAATATATTTTAATGTCTGCCACATATGTATAGCAAAATCTATGTCAATATTATATATATGAATTTTGTGTTAACTCCACATCAGATTTTTTGACACATTTGCAAGGTTTAAACTTTGGGTTAGGGCTTATGGATGTGATGGTTTTTATCATATAAGTTGGATTTTGAACATATTTTAGATATTATAGACTAAGTTTGCCATCATTACATTTTTTAGGCACTTTTCTTAGTGAAGGTAATAGAAAGTGCTTTCTATATTAAGCCCAAGTGCAACAAATTAACATGTCCTGTGATGCCAAAAATATATGTGTATGATTAAGAATATAAGAAATCAATGAAACTAACACTTTACTGTAGTTACAACAAGATACACTTGCAAAAAACCATTACACTCAACGCATCAAACATCCAAAGAAACCCTTGCAAAAGCTATTGAAACACCATACTTATATTAGTGTGCACTATGATTAAAATATACCTCAAAGCTGCGAAAAATGAGGTATAGCCATGTGGAATTGAAAGCAAATAGAAGACATGTCAAAGAGGAGAGAAATGATTATAATAAAAAGATCACAAATTTACACTCAATAACACACATAAAAAACAAAAACTCTCACTAGATTTACAGTGATATTATGCTGTATGTGGACATGATATTAGTCTTGCGTGGTAGTTTGAGGTGTCATACCCCATGTATATATGGATCCTATGACAAAAATATTATACACACAATCACATTTTAATTACTTATATAGCAAACAAAAACTGTTTGTGTGCATAATATTTTTGCATGTAACTCTAAAGAAAAGAAATAAATCCACACATATGTAAATTATAATGCTCCCACATGCAATCACACTTTTTTTTCTATAATTAAGGACACAATTTTTTGTTGTGTGTTGTTGTGAACTTAAATAATTGAAGAATATTTGAAATTAAAATATGTCAAAAATAAAAACATAAAACATAATTCATATTTTGTAATAATTCTGTTCAATATAAAGGCTTTATTTATGTAGCTCAGATCGTTAGATGGTAAATTCCTTGCTTGGCACTGAGATTGATGCCTGGCATCTCTAAATATAAAGAGCATGCATTTTGACCGGTGTTGACTATGGTTGACCATCAAGGTGATAGAAGCTCATCAATTCAAACAGGCTGAGTTTCATTGGTGCACAACTCCAAACACTCATCTCATGGTCTACACCAGGAGCTTTTCTTCCTTGGCATAATAGACCTTAACCACGTTGGGGTGCCTTGCTACTTTAGACCAGGACGATGAATAAACTAGACAAATTAAGACAGCTTGGACTTCATGAACTTGAAGCATGAGTACGATCTGTAGAGTGGATCATTATGGGAAACAACCAAAGCAATGACTGGCCCAACAGATTCATCCATCCTTCTTCTCAACTTTCAATATGTGTGCATGGTCAGCCTGTAAATCCCATTGAGGTAAAATAAAAGTGAAAGATAGCTACACCAAAAATGCCGCTCTTCCTCCAGGGATTCATGGGCAGTGATCACAGCGGGAAAAGACTTCGATGTCCTGCCCAGAGCTCGTCCTAAAGACATCAAGAGTGTTGAACTGAGATTTCCAAATCAAATATGGACCATCCTTTACTTTGGCTAAACAAAACTTAAAGTAATATGCCTGTTAATATTATATCCATGTCTTTTAAAGTAAGAAATATTTAGATGATAACAATCCCCTAGCATGCAACCACCATTCCTCTAGGATGCTGGCACTATCCTGGAACGATTTGACAAATCCAGGGGCCTGAAGGCATAAAATCCGATGCACAATCCCACCATGATCGCGATGAAGACCCCCATGTTGAACGCAATTGCCATCATCAGCGTCGTGGTCACATAAGCACCGTGCATCCCCACTGCCATCGGGGTCGCCAGCGAGCGTGCTTGGGGTAGTCTCTCTTCAAATCCTTGCCGGTGGTGGGTCCTGGCGTGGAATAGGCAGCGAGGATGTGGGCAATCCATTCGTGGATAACTCGCAATGAACATAGGCAGCGAGGATGTGGGCGGAAATGTTTTTGTTTTTCTTTCTCTCTTCTTTCACTCTTCTCGCAAGAGGGGTTACAGCTCTTCAGCTGCTAACATCACTATAGCAAAGCAAGACAGACATGACAAAAAACATTGCCCGATTCATCTATGGCACGACAATCCAATACCAAGCATCATTTTGATCCACCACCTGAAGATTTGCATGCTGTTGTTTCTTGACACCTGATTTTTCTTTTGACTTTTTGTGCTGATTCAGCTTGCGAGCTTTCAGCCGTTTTTCCAAAACCTATATAGACTAAAATGCAATAAATATTGACATGATTATTCAAAGCTGGTAGAAAAGGTTAGGTATAAGGAACAAACAACAATGTGTTTGTGAAGTAATAAACTCAACTATGCAAAAATTAAATATATTCTTAAGTTTTACAACATACTATTTCTCTTCAAAATCTAACTAAATTATAAAGTGTAATTTTACTTACTTACCATAAATATATACATAAATGCAGATGCTTATTTTATAATTTAATTATAATTAATAGAATATTAAATAGTAAAAGTATTATTAAAAAAAAGTTATTTTTTATAGTCTTATCTTCAGCTGATACACAAAATCTAGAATATTCTGAAAATAATTCAGGATGCTGGCACAGGCACAATCCTGAAAGGATTTGACGATTCCAGGGGCCTGAAGATGTAAAATCCAATGCACAATCCCACCATGATCGTAATGAAGACCCCCGTGTTGAACGACATTGCCATCATCATGAGCATGTAGCTTGTGGTCACATAGGCACCATGAATCGCCACTGCCAGCGGTATCGCCCAGCGAGCGTGCTTGGGGTAGTCTCTCTTTGGATCCTTGCCGGTGGTTGGTCCTGGCGTGGAATAGGCAGCAAGGATCATCCAGTGATTGTGGGCGATCCATTCGTGCATAACTCCAATCCATGCAATGAACATGAGCATG